AGTTCGTAAATAAAAGAAGGTTATCTCGAAATTGTAATTCGCAACATAGTATAAATTTCTTTTGATAAATATTTCCAAAACATCGTGTTTATTCATAAAACATAAAAAAAAAAATTCTCGGATGAAAATGCACTTGCAGAGACACAATTATGAAGAAAAATGCCATAAAATTGCAATTTTCTCCCGTTATATAGTTTTGGATGCAAATTTCCATCAGAAAATCGGATAGAGCTTTACTTGTTTCATATGTGTACCAAAAATCAGCTAATTCCATGTGGTGGAACGTTCTCATATCGCCGCCTGAATGTGGTTGTAAATTGAAAGAAAAGGGGAAATGAGTAACAACCTTGTCTGAAACCCTATTATATAGCTTATTATATACAAACTTTTATATTGAATATCAGAGCGGATATTTTCATGACAGTTTTATGATGTGTAACGACTAAATAAACAGTATCGATATAAAGATTTACACTGAGGACACCCTGATACATGAATACTGTTCTATCTCAAGTTGTCCTCTTCTGAATTTTCTGATCGTGTGGCCTTGTACATTTATCCGTATCTTCTTGTCTTTGTCTATACGTTTACGGAATCATTGACTCGACGCTAGCTATTCTTGTCTCACTTTCCTTGTTTTATTGTCCCATCTCCAAAGCGTTGTGGCTCTGTCAGGGTTGGGACCCTGACTTGTCTCACTTTCTTTGTGCCTGCCGACCACGCCACATCGAATAGATAGATTATCCATATGAAATACTTTATTTTGTTCTAAGTAATCAATCAATTCTGCGCTTCTTGGAGGTATTGAATGTGATTTATTATATTGTCTTGTTATTTTGTGTAATTAGTTGTTCGTTATTTATCACACATTTTCGCATAATTGTACCAAACTACTAAGTATTAGCTGTTTACAGCAATCATCGGTGGCTTGCTATTTTGTTACTTTATCGACGCTTCATAAACCAATCGTTATTGTTTCAAGATGGAGGGTAAATGTGTTGGAGAAGGGTGTCAAGTATACTTCAAGAAACGTAGTGGCAATAAGAACAGAAGTGCACGCAATGTAAATAGTCCACAATATAAATGGCTCCTAGATACGCTGGTGCAACAAGGATTGATGTCAGCAAAGGAACAAGCACTTATTTGCCAGAAGTGCTACATGAAGTATCTTCGGAACAAAAATCAGCCTGAACCTGAACCCGAGCAGAACCAGGAAATAGAGGAAGAAGACGACTCCCCGTCCCATATCCTGCCGTTGCTGACCCTTCATGATCTTTTGAATGGATCATCTTCACACAAAAAATGCTGTCTCTGTCTTGTTACCTTTGCAAGAAATGGAACAAAATCATCAGTCTTACCAAAACGTGCAAGACATCACCTGATCTATTCACACAAACTGTGGTGTCCCACCTCATCCCGCGTCTGCTCCATTCACCTTATTGGTAACGACTTAGATCCGTCTACAGAGGTTGTCCTTGATGGTAGAGGTTCCTTGGAATCTCAGTTACCATCAAAATCGTCCGAAATCATTAATGACCTCCTAGAGGTGTCGCACGTCCTTTCACAGAACCAGTCTGCGTTTACAATAAGCTTTTCTTCTCTTGATGACTCGGCATGCATGGCCTGGACAGGTTGGTCCAAAGATCAGTTCCTCGAAATCCACTCGCACTGTTCCCCATATCTTTCATCTGGTATATATACCAAGACTACACACGATGCTCTATTACTGTTCTAGGTAAAACTGAAAACCGACATAAAAACAAACCAAGTGACCTAAATCTTTATACTTTATAGATTTGTGATCACAACGGCATGGGCAATGCACCACCAACAGGAAATTTGAATCAGAGAAGGGGCCGTTTTGGAAACCGGCCCTTTTGTGTTTTTTCAGTGTGCTAGAATTCAAATTTGTTTGGAATTATCACATTGTGATTGGAGTTTGATAGTATGAACATCAAGACCCTGACTCAGACCCAGGGGCACGAGGGCCAGGGGCCTATATCTAGAAGTGGTTATATTGGCTTAAATATTTAACAATCTTTAGACCCAGATATTCTGGAATGAAATATTCTTTATGAATGGAAAAGTCTTGAGGTGCTTTATCAAAAGTGAGATTTCATTATCCCCAGGTCACCCATTGTTCCCATGGGGAGGGGTAAAACTTACTATTGTTAATATAAAGAAATATCCATTTTGGGTATAATAATTTTCTCTTATTTTCATTGGGAAAGAATTCAAACTTTGTTCAAATTATCATCATGTGATTGCAGTTTGATGCAATCAAAATTATGACACATATTTTCCCATAGAAGCCTGAGAGACGGGGCCAAAAAGGGGTAAAATTGGCTAAAATACCAACAATCTTCTTTGGACATGCTGGAACCCAATCCTAATGTCATTTTGCTGTTATTACATATAACAGGGGTGCAGAGAGCAAAAGTGAGCGTTAACCAGGCTGAAGTATTGTGGATTGAATCCTAAGGTGCTCTATCAAAAGTGTGAATATCACTTTCCTTGGGTCAATCATTTCTTTCTGGGGCGGATCTTTACTATATGTTATGTAGTTTCCTTACTTCAGGTCTTAAGCTCACTTGCCCGTCAGTTAAGATTATGTCATGGTGCCACGTCTGTCGACCTTCCAATTGTCCGTTCGTCGTCTGTCAACTTTTCATTTAAATGACTTCTTCTTGAGAATAAACAGGCCTATAGTCATGATATTTGGCTTAAAGCTTTGTTGTTAAGAGCCTGACAAAGTTTGAGAACAAAAATGACCTTGACCTACTTTCAAGGTCACTGGGGTCAAATGTGTCAAATGCATCAAACAACTTCTTCTGAAAAACGAAAGGTAAAGAATCATAATGTTTGGCTGGTGGCTTCCTGGGATAGAGCCCTACACAGTTTGAGCATGAAAATGACCTGAACTTACTTTCAAGGTCACAGGGGTCTAATGTGTCCAACGCTTCTATTGACTTCTAAAGAAATGAAATATAGAGAATCTTAATATTTTGCTGGTATATAGTTTCTTGGGATGGAGCCCAACAAAGTTTGATAACGGAAATGACCGTGACCTACTTTCAAGGTTACAGGTTGTCAAATTTGTCAAATACTTCAAACAACTTCCTCTGAAGAACTGAAAGGTATGGAATCTTCATACTTGGCTGGTAGCTTCTCAGGATTAAGCACAACAAAGTTTGAGAATGAAAATCATCTCAACCTACTTTCAAGGTCACAGGGGTCAAATATGCCAAACACTTCAAATGACTTCTTCTTAAGAACTGAAAGGTATGGAATCTTCATATTTGGCTGGTAGCTTCTTATGATAAAAGGCTGGTACACTAGATTCTTGTAATAGAGCCAACAAAAATTGAGAAGGAAAATGACCTCGACCTCCTTACAAGGTCATCGAGACAAATATGTCAAACACTTCAAACAACTTCTTCTGAAGAACTGAAAAGAATAGTAATATTTGGCTGGTAGCTTCAAAGGATGGAGCTGACAAAGTTGGCGATTGAAATATATTTAGTACAGTATAATATTTGATGAAAATATTTTGCTACGTTCAAATATCAAGATGAGAGGTACAGGCCCTCTCGGCCTCTTTTCTTAATAAATGATATATGTTAAGGCACTCCCCAAAATCATTTTGTCTGTGGATGTTAATGCCCATTGGGCCTCTTTTTTCTTTTCACATCAAGAAAATATCATCTTAACTTTCATCATTACATTTGATTATATTTTTACCATTTACAATGCAAATGTAGTATCTCAAAATTTCATTCAGTCACTAGTGATAAAGGCTACATGTTCTATTCCAAGGATAAACATGCCTTGACTTATTGTGAGATGAGCCTATTCTGCAGTGATGAAGTAACAATAAAGCACTTGATTAACCCATTCATCCCTAAAGTCGCATTTGAACCTTACCATATCAATGACTGGGCAAGTCCAGTTTAAAAATGTAGGGGTTAATGAGTTAAAAAAAGGAAAATAAGGAGTTTAAAGTGAAGTTGAATGTGTACTTGGTTGCATGATTGGCCTGATGAAACGTCGCATGAAGTTAAGTTTGCCTTGAAGTTTGATTGCTTTATTTGCATGATGCTTATGCCTGAACTGGGATCTCTATATCTGCTTCCTATCCTTAAATCAAACAGGACTCATTTGTGTCGGGCTGAAATAATGCAATGAAAAATGGGAATTTTGGTGATATGTTTTTTTTCGAAAATGTTAAGAAAATATTGATTTTTAAAACTTTAATATTTGTATTCTGTGATATAAAATCATGACAAGGTAGGAGGAGAAAGATTTACTTTGGTTATTGTTTTAATGAAATTTCAACTTGTATAATTGGGAAACCAGTGCACCTGTGTCTGGGTAAATTAGATAACACATTATCTACTCTAAGACCATTCTTAACTCTTGTTACCCCTAAAGACACATTTGAACTCTTCCAATTCAAGGGTTGGAATAGTTCATTATGAAATTTTAAGGGGTCAATGAGTTAAATATGTCAAGTGGTCAATTTCTAATTTAAGCACACATATTTTTTATGTTTTATTATCATTATTTTGAAATCATTTTTTATACCCGTACTTGAATGACACTCTCAGTCCATGGATAGTTCCGTTTTATTAGGGTTAATTTTCAAAAACCGAATACAACATCTGGACACCAATGTTTGAAATATTTAAACTCATTCATCCCTGAAAATTCGTAATGAACTATTCCAATCTTTGATTTGGAAGAGTTCAAGTGTGTCTTTAAGGGTGAATGAGTTACTCTGAGAATGATTGTTTCATTTTCTTACGTATACCTACATTGGAATACTGCATGTTCTCCTCAAACAAAATTTGGAATGTGACATTGTTGCTTTGCTTGACGCTTACCTACAGATGCATTGTCAATAAAACAGACTGATCTTACTTATGTTGTTGTTTTTTGTGCTGTCTTTTATATCCTTTTAAATTGATCAAATGGACATTTTTTATCAATTATCATTTCAGACATCATTGTATTTTTACATGACTGGAGATGTACTGATAAGGAAAGTAAGATACCAATGCTACATCTAGAGTACCTTTTAAGATCTACACTGCCACCTAATTGCCCCAGTATACAAGGCTGGTTGTATTGTCATGCCACAGAAAAAACCCAATCCCATCGCACCATAGAGTATCTAGGAAGTTGCACGGAACAACTCCGAATGTTCATACATCATCAACAGGTAGAACAGACATGCTGCGAAAAACTGCAGTCAAGGAAAGTCACTTCTGCCACTATATCGGAAGGATCGTATGTGAGACATCAGGAAGAAAAGATACAGCCTTTGTATGATTTGATGGCAGACCCAACAGACTGTTCTCCAGGTTACCTCAGGTTAATACCTAATGCACCCCGAATGTGGCATCCTTTCTCGTTATTAATGTCGCCTGATGGGAAAACTTGTTTGTCGTCTCATGTTGACAAAGGAGGCCATATAATTAGACCACTAGTAGGTTTAAGGTGCTCACATTGGCCAGCTGTTGCGTTGGAATGGATGTCACGTCATCGCCCGAGCAACTGGCCCGGTGAGCAAGTGATACAATCAGCAGTAGAGGACGAATGTTTGGTAATATCTCGAGCACACCCCTTTAGCAGCTTCCCAGATGCCGAGTGGCAGTATGTCTTCCCATGTGCCGAACGTCTCCTCGCTTTAGATGCACTGACGGTTGACATGCGGCACTGCTTCTGGGTCTTCAAAAGCATTGTGGACTATTATCTGATTAAGGCACCAGCTAGACTGAAAACAACACATCTGAAAACAGTACTTTACTTTGCCTGTGAGACCATTTCGATTGATTTGTGGAAGGAAAACAAAGCTGGATGTCTTATCTATCTCCTGCACATGCTTCTTAGATATTTGACATCCAAACGTCTCCTGAACTATTTCATTACTGGAAATAATATGCTTGATGGTTTTACGGATGAGCAGCTGGCCTTCTTCACAACAACGATACAGGTGATTCGCTTCTTCCCAATTCATGCCATCGCATTCATGCTAGACCACTATGGTATTAGATGCTTGGACACCATTCATCTCCTTATTGATGATATTGAAGGTTTCCGTAGAGACCTAGATATAAACAAGACAGTACAGGGTATGTTTGTCCCTTGTTTCTTGCAAGATTTTACAACAAACATTATTTATCAGGCCTACGAACTTGCAGCCAATTTGCTGCATAATGCACACTTCTTCATAGAAATTGCAAACAGTGTTGTCTCCAGCAAAGATCGAACCGTCATAACATTTCATGACTTTGTTGTTCAAGCCCTCAAAGCGGAACATCAAGAGGACATACAAAGTGTGTCTATCTACCTTGATCGGCTGTTTGGTACTCAGTTTCAGGAGTTCCACAAGTTTGAGGTCACAGCAGAGGCACATCCAGACAGCGGAACCCGTTCTGGGAACCCAAAGGATGCAACAAATACATTGCTGCCGGACCTTCACGGGTCCTTAAAACATATAGAAGAACCTTTCTCCGAGGGAGCATCGGAAACAAGTGGTAATATGCTTCCCGAAGCTGTGACATCAGACGGAGAGAAGCACACATTCAGAGAGCCTCAACACCAACTTAAGGACCTGCTTGGCGCTAGCAAAGCTGGACAATATGCCGATAAACTTTTACCATCCGGAACAATGGATTCTATCGTACTGCAATCAAAATTTCTTCTAAAATTTGTATCAAATTTACATAACACAAACCAACTTGAGGAATGTGCACATTTTGCTACTTGTGGAATTGACTTGATAAAACAAAACCAGGCAGATCAATTGGACGTCTCCTGTATAGAGGACCCTATGCTGAGGAGCGAGGTGGAGAAGCATCATTTGGACATTGAGACCAGTCTGAAGTCCTACCTCAAAGAGTTTGTGTGCATGTCGAGTGCTTCTGGGACATGATTTCCTCACCCAAAAACAAATACTTCAAAGAGGTTGCATCCGACGACCCATTTATCCTTAAATTGCTAGAGACCATATTGTCACAAGGAAAAGATAATCAGCAATGACCTTCAATATTGTGATTTCTGTTCCGTTTTGCATTAAGGAGGGGTTTTTACGGACTTCAACACAAAGACTCGCTCCCTTGGGTAAAACTTATGATTTTTCAAGAATACGGAAACTTGGAGACAGTTCCCTTGGGAACTACTAGATTTTGTTAAACAACATCTGGATTTTGATGAACTATTTTTATTCGGAAAACAGATATCAGTGTGGACATTCAGAAAAATAAAACAGTATGTCAACATCAACTGTTGACTGAAATTGAAAGCAAGATTGAAGCTCGAAATTATGCCAGAATGGAGACTTGTTTCCTTAACTCATTCACCTCTGAAATTTCATAATGAACTGTTCCAACCTTTGAATTGGAAGAGTTCAAATGTGTCCTCAGGGTTGCACGAGTTATGCAAGAATGGAATGCCAACATAAAGGCCTGTTCTATTTAGGAACTGATTCTGGGAGTATATTTTAGCATTGAATTCTATCGGGCAAGACTTGAACATTTAAACAGTTAGGCCAACATGCAGATTTGTTCTGTCCATCTCCAATGGAGGGCTGAAGTTTGATGAACAATTCTTTCAACATATATGTATGTCAGCTGTTCCCATGAAAAAAAACCTGAAGTTTTCATGGACATAAGATTAATCAGTTTATTCATCATATCATAATAGACTGGTCTGTTGCTCTTTTTAGGAATTTTCAAATTATAGGGATGTGCTAACTTTGAGAAGTCTACTGATTTTTATACGCCCATCGAATTTCGACGGACATATTATGGTATATATATATATATTATGGTCCGTCCGGTTAAAGTTTGGGTGCAATTTCTTCAGTGGTGTACAGTTTATTCAGATCATGTGTTATTGTCCTAATTTTTGGCATTTTGGCATGGATGTTCTTGTTGGGTCTAAGAAGGACAATATGGATTTAATTTGGGAAAATAATTTCTATTTTTGGAAATTTTGGACGTGTTTGGGACTTAACTTTTCTCGCACAATTTCTCGGTTAAAGTTTTGGTGCAAGTTTTTTAAGTAGTGTACAGTTCATTCAGATTATCATGTGTTACTGTCCTTTTTTTGGCATGGATGTTCATGTCGGGTCTTAGAAGGTCTTAGAAGGACAATATGGATTCCATTTGGGAAAATAATTTCTATTTTTGGAAATTTTGGACGTGTTTGGGACTTGGCTTTTCTCACGCAATTTCTCGGTTAAAGTTTTGGTGCAAGTTTCTTAAGTGGTGTACAGTTCAGTCAGATCATGTGTTATTGTCCTTATTAGGTACTTTAATATCAAACAAACAGTCAAAAGGGCGTATAATGCATCCGTTTGCGGTGCTCTTGTTTAACGAGTAAACCAATATTGAGTTACCTGTTTTAAATGGTTATCAATATTGAGTTACCTGTTCTAAATGGTTTTCAATATTGAGTAACCTGTTATAAATAATTATCAATATTGAGGTACCTGTTCTAAATGGTTACCAATATTGAGTTACCTGTTCTAAATGGTTATCAATATTGAGTTACCTGTTCTAAATGGTTTTCAATATTGAGTAACCTGTTATAAATAATTATCAATATTGAGGTACCTGTTCTAAATGGTTATCAATATTGAGTTACCTGTTCTAAATGGTTATCAATATTGAGGTACCTGTTCTAAATGGTTATCAATATTGAGTTTCCTCAGAGGTCTCGATCTTAAGTCAACATACTAAGATCTAATACAAATTTTGAGGTTTCTATTATTTGAAAGCAATGTATCAACATAGATTCCAATCAACTGAATTCAAGAGAAAATAACTTAAAATTTACAAGTTATATGACTTTTATATGTTATACAGACAGAGTTTCTGTGTTGAATGTTATACTATATGCAAACATAGAGATAATTGTTTTGTGAAATTTAAATCTGAAATATATGTATATATGCAAACATAAATATAATTGATTTTTGAGAAATTTACCGCAAATATTTCAGAGGTTTTTCTATGAACAAAATGTCAATATGGATAAACATCTGAAGTTTGAAAGTTTGGCAACGTGAAGGCTTTCCAACTTGGGAACATTTCATATATCTAATGTATATGTGGGTTATGTGACATTATCTCATGCATGTGTGGGTTATGTGACATGATCTAATGCATATGTGAGTTATGTGACATTATATTATGTATATGTGGGTTACGTGACATTATTTAATGCATATGTGAGTTATGTGACATTATTTAAGGCACATGTTGATTATATGTCAATATTTGATGCATATGTGGGTTATGTGACATTATCTAATGCATATGTGGGTTATGTGACATTATCTAATGCATTTGTGAGTTATGTGACATTATTTAATGCATATGTGGGTTTTGTGACATTATCTTATGCATATGTGGGTCAGACATTATTTAATGCACATGTTGATTATATGGCATTATTTAATGCATATGTGGGTTATGTGACATTATCTAATGCATATGTGGGTTATGTGACATTACCTATTGTTACACCTCAAGTGAATTTCTAGCTATTTGATTGGTTGGGAGAAAATTAAACAAAAATCTCTGTCACACTCCGAAAATACATTGGTTTTAAGGGGCGCGGGTGATAGTCACAAGAACGTTTGACGGCAACAGCCAATTTTATCAAGCGCCGGTGCGATAGCGATCGTAAACAGCAGACTATCAACAAACAAGATGTCAATATCGAGGTTTGCTGCCGTTTCTGAGCTACAAAAACTTTTGGTGTAACAAAATAGATATGACATTCATCATAAGCAGGTGACAGTGAATATTGTCAACCCTCAAAAACCCATTGTCACCCTCGGCTTCGCCTCGGGTGACAATGGTTTTCTCGGGTTGAAAATATTCACTGTCACCTGCTAATGAATGTCATATTTATATAATGTATATGTTGATTATATGGCAATATTTAATGCATATGTGGGTTATGTGACATTATCTCATGCATATGTGGGTTATGTGACATTACCTAATGTATATGTGGGTTCTGTGACATTATTTAATGCAAATGTGGGTTGTATGGCAATATTTGATGCATACAATGTATGTGGGTTGTATGACATAGAGACTCTAATAAAGTGTTTCTAGGATATGACCTACTGTCTCTCTGTCTGGATAATGGATATCATAGCTGTATATAACATATTAATCAGTTCAGTTGTTTTTCAACACCAGGGATTGTTTAAAGCCCTATTGTCTTGACAACAATCTAATACCAATGTTTAATCTTGCATATTTAAAAACAATATAATCAACGAACTAAAACTATTATTGAGCGATTTGAAATCGCAATGCTTATACAAGATAAATACAAATATACGTCTTCACATAAATTTGCATTTTGAAATATTTATTGAATACTGATTAAGGTGATCCAGCTTTAAACAACCTCGACTTGTACCAAGTATTTCTAAATTGATACTGATGATGCAGTATTTCTAAATTGATACTGATGATGATGCAAGTTCATTGGCACAATTTTATACATTGTTATTCACTGTGATGAGTTCGAAAACTTGTACATATCTGGAACAGTGGTTAGCTATGATTTCGGTGATTTCTACCTCTATTTACATAATACATGCAATTTTTTTCATGCTTTAGCATATTCAAATTAGCTTTTAAATTATATTTTATATGAGCATTGCAATTTAAACTTCAACATAATGTTTTCAAGAACTTAAGTTCAAAGTACTTTATAAAGTATTGATTGTTTACGAATGTCATCATACTGCAGTAATTGTTTTGCTTATAAAGAAAATATTGTATGACATTGGAAGAAATCTAGGGGCTGCAGTGGCCAAGTGGTACAGGCGTCTGATATTCTGTTACCACTAGCCCTCCGCCACTCAGAGTCGCAGGTTCGAGGCCTACTTGGGGCAGTCGCCAGGTACTGGCCGTAGGTCAGTGGTTTTTCTTTGGGAACTCCGGCTTTCCTCCACTACCAAAACCTGGTACGTCCTTAAATGACAACAGCTGTTAATAGGACGTACAACACACACAAACTAAACAGAACCAAAACCAAATGGAAGAAAATTACTCTCCTTCTTTAGAGAAAAATTGGGTTACAGACTCAATTTGGTAATACATACAGTATTGCCAAAATGAATGTCGCTGCATCATACAGCTGTTTTGAATTCTTAAATTGTAGCAACTATTATTATGGCCTGAATTTTGGATACTCTTTTTAAATGGAGTGACCAATCTCTATTTCTGTAGAATTCTACGGATGAGTGATTTCATGGCTTTTTCTGTTAAAGTATGTATTGTATTTAGACGAATAAAAAAAGTACATATGAATATTGTACCTGTTTTTATATGTCAATGGAGATAGATGCATGAAAAGTTTCATCTCCAACGATTTATGTACACATAAATCGCTACACAGAGTACTCATAAGAGTTCGTTACAGTAATATATACTTTGTTAAACAACCATAAAGTAAACCCATTTTAATCGGGCAAATACCTAGTTTTGGAGCCTCTTCAAATTCAAGCTGGCAAACAATCTTTAACGTTTCTATATTCGATATATACATTTTTCAACACCGGAGAGTAATAAATTCAAACAACATCTTTAAAGTGTGTTTTCACAAATGTATCTTCATTTTTGCAGTGAAAATAGTACTTACTCTTTCAACTCAGAAAGGCGATTTAGGTAACCTCTACTCCTTAGTTGTCTAGCTCAGTTGGCCTGAAATGCCAGTTTAATGGTATGGGCAGTCATTCGTCTTTTTTTCTGTTAACAACTTCATCTTAAAAATTGACGAACTTAGGGCCAAAATATTTGGCCAGTAGGTACATGGGACAGTGTGCTATAAAGTTTCCTAATACAATATCCTTGGCCTACTTTCAAGATCACAAGGGTCAAATGTGTTCTTCCAAGAAACATGCAACAATTATATTTTGCCAGGAGGTACTACGGATGAAGAGCTAAAACAGATCCTCAAATAAACGACCTTGACTGACTTTCAAGGTCACATGGAACAAATATCTAAAAACCTTCAAAAATCTTCTTCTGAATAACCACGAGGCCCAAAGCGATAATACTTGGCCAGTAGGTATCTGGCATGACAAGCTATAAACTTTCCTCAAATTAATGACCTTGAATAACTAAGATAACAGGCATCAAATGTGTTAAAAATCCTCTGAAAACTTCTTTTGAATAACAACTTCTTTTAAGGCCACATTGGTCAAGTATATAAATATCTTTTCAACAACTTCTTCTGTCTTACCAGGATGCCTTGAGTGATGACCAATACAAGTAGTTACCCGGCATGAAGTGCTATACACTTTCATCAAATGAATGCATTTGAATTTCTTTCAAGATCACGGGGGTCAAATATTTAAAACCTTTTAACAATTTCTTCTGAAAAACAAGGAGACCCTGCAGAGTAATGATACTTGGCAAGTAGGTACCTGGGATGGAGAACTGTAAAATTTCCTCAAATAAATGACCTTGACATACGTCAAGGTAACAATGTCAAATATGTAAATATCTTTTAAACTGGCTTCTGTATGATTGGTCGAAATTCACATATATTTTGATTTCGCTCAAATTTGGTATGTACATGTATTATGGCACTGCGACTTCTGTTCTCCTATTTACATTTGTTTTTCTGAATTACATTACAATAAGCACTTGTTTTTTATACCTCCATGTTGATGTATTGCCAAACTTGTTGTAGAATTCCTAACTTTGGCTCAAACTCCAAATGCTTGACACATTGAATCTTAATGTTCAAAGTGGGGATAAGCGAGACATATAATTAGGCATAATTCTTTTTATAAAACCCATTACATGATATAAAAACCAGATTTGATTTAAACCCCAGAACATCCTTAATACAGACAGATACTTCTCCCTCCTGCTGAATTGGTGAACACTGCATTAACAAATAAATTGATAAACACATAATATCACATTCGACTGCTATTGAAGGTGATTGCAATATATGGGATAATATTTTTATTGACTTAAAAAGTTTTATTTAACTATCAGGTATTGTGTGAAGAACATAAAAACATTTTCCTTTATAGTTGCTTTACATTATAGTGTTATTTACCATAGTAAACACAATAGAATGGGCTTGACATTACTGTCTAATTGTGTACACTCTGTCGTGAAGACAACCAATTGAACTGGCTCATAAAGCATTAGATCCTTTATTAGCTTATATCACCGGGTCCTGAGCTTATGCCATACCGTGGCGTCCGTTGTCTGTCAGTCAACAATTTATTTAAACGTCTTCTTCTTCTTAACCACTGATTGGAATTTAATTAAATTGGACTGGAAGCATCCCTAGGTGGTGGGGATTCACAATTGTACAGGGGACTGAGGAGCAGGGACAAAAGGGGGCAATTTGGCTATATTGCTTTAAAGTGAGTTCTTCTCACCAACTAAGAGATAGATATCAACCATATTTTACTGGAAGCATCCCTAGGTAGTAGAGATTTAAAATTGTACAAATGGTTGGGCTGACCCCCCAGGGGGCTGAGGGGTGGGGCCAAAGGGGGGCAATTCGGCTATATTGCTATAAACGACTTCTTCTGTAGAACTATGCCATGGATATCAATCATATTTGGTTGGAAGCATTCATGGGAGGCAGGGATTCAAAATTGTACAAATGGTGGGTCTGACCCCCCAGGCTAAGGGGTTGGGCCAAAAACAGTTTATTACGTGGAAATGGTTGAGATCCCCACCGTATAATCATATATACAATTGCTGAGTATAAAGAGAAGAATGCACATTTGCTTTCAGGATGGCTTTAGGGTCTGGCCCCACCCTTGGAGACATAGTCCCTGGGTCATAACTTAGTGAAACGGTTGAGATCCCCACCCCAAAACTATATATACAAATGCTGGGCATAAGAGATGAATGCAGTGATGATATTAGAATAGACCCTGGGGTCTGACCGAACCCCCAGGGACCTAGTTTCTGAGTCACAGCTTGAAAACAGTGAGATCCCAAACCCCATAACCATGCTGGGCATGAAAAATGTAATACAGATATGCTACAAGGATTGGCCTTTGGGTCTAGCTTATTCCCTTGGATCACATTTGGAGAATGTTTTGCCATGATTGCTTAGAAATCCAGGTGAGCGATACAGGCCCTCTGGGCCTCTTGTATATATATTTATAATAATGAAGAAAACGAGATAGTTAATATCACTGTATACATAAGGGCTGTCACAATATATTGGAAAACAGGTATATCGCAATACAGGGGTATATCGTATTGTACCACAGTACAGAGATGAAATATAATTGCTGTATAGCAATATTTTTCAAAGGCATATCTGCTTGGTGTTTTAACTTTGCAAACTACTACAAATTCTAACAGATATGCCAATCACCATAAAAGAGGCTATTACTAGTGGTGGGAATCAGATAAAATTTTGTAATCGATGGTTGGTTTGACGAAAACCTTAAATCGATGTGATCCATATTATATATGATTAAGTCTGATAACATTCTGACTACAACTTATCATAAAATTGAGCACATTTTTCCTATGACAATATATCGGGATACCTATCGCAATATATTCAT